TTGTGCGAACAAACAGGCGATAACATTTATCTAGGCAGTTCAATAGACTCAAAGCAATAACCGCTAGAACATTGGTAAACAGAATAAACCGAAGAGGATTACATGCTGAATTTTGGCTATAGTGCTTGATGATGACGACCACAGTAAGGTCATTTGCGCCTGAATTGATTTACAGTGAGGGACACTTGTCGCCTAATTGTTTTCTCACGTTCCAGTGGCAAAAGTACAGGCCGTTGGAGGAGAGGGTGGATGCAGGAGATAAGATGGTCGCATCTATGTCTACAAATGCCATAAACGAGCCGGTCCCCGCACGAACAAGAGTTAAACTTAAATGGACAGCAACATGTTCCATAAAAACCTGAGTAGGATGATAGTGAAACCTGGCGCTCAGCCCACAGAAGGAACTATGCCGTCAATTCAACGTGTTATAGGATACCACTACAGTGCACAGTGGATCCCCCTCGAGTCGGCCTCATTACTTTTCCTTCTTCTATCACGTGTCAGTGGCTGGTCTGAGTTAAGTTGGCTGCATATGAGATTTTCTATAGGGATTAATATGACATAAGACTTCACCTAGCGTATGCCGCACGCATGTGTATGACCTATATAACACAGGCTTGCATGGATAACATACCAACGCTCTCTGCAGATGGGACTGAAGTGCACAGATATACATATTGAATATTCAAACTTCTCCAAAATATATGAAGAAAATAAATTACCTCGTCTGCAACACGCTGATAAAGACATCCTATCAGCATACCAAATGAGGAGGGCACTAAATACCGCGGAAGGTGGTATGTGGGTTCAACCATCTGACGGACAGCTTGGGCAAGTGCATCTAATTCTTTTGAGGGACACGACGGATCATTGCTCATACAGCGCTGGATCAGATAATCCATCAGCCATAAGCCATCACGGAGATGCCCGCAGAGCGCATGGCCCATGTCATTCTCTTCGGCAACTGTTCGCAGGACCGACAAGACCCCCTACAAACAGATATAACATGTTGTTGACAAATTCATAATTTTATGCAGGTCCACAAACATCAGGAAAAATCTCAGAAGTCTACTGGAAGGTGCCTAACCTGAAGACCGCAGAAAGGCAGTTCGCCATAGCCAGGAATAAAATATGGCTTCCGCCCAATACCGCAGCAGTTCTCTTCGCGCTCACAACGATAAAACAGCCAGTTGATGTCATTCAGTGAGAGGTCAGCCACGAGCCTCGAAATTGTACCAGCTTCCATTATTTCTGGGAGCGAGGGCAACAAGTTATCCGTTGCAGATTCAATGGCCGGCCCGAGGACTTGTCCATTACTGGCGTTTCGGAGACGATTGCCGAACTAAAAGGATAATGAATTGCAAATTGTATTTTTAAGAAGGTCACATTTGAAACAATGCCAGCTCCGTTTCAAAAGGGTTGAAGTGATTACCTGACCCAAGAGAACGCTTCGAATACGACTGAGGGCCTCGGCCTGAGAATCTGTAAGGCAAACGGAAACTGCTGCGATGCAACCGGGCGGGAAATCATAGAATTCCAGAGCGTCAACGCCACCAGCCTCATTGAGAGTAACAATTCTGAACATAGAACTTTGATCCACGGGCACGTCCTCTTGCAGCTGGACTTTTACATTAGTCAAGCCGTTGATGTAGTGAGTGTCACGTTGGAATCCGGATAGAGGGTCACCAGAAGCCTGATTTACCGTGCGTGCTTCCAGCAGCAGCCTCTTAACACGACCGTTTACGACAACCTGTCGGAATCGTTGATGCTGAGGATGGGGGTTACGTTCATAGAAGCAAGAGTGCGCGACCAACACCACGGAGGCCGCAGTATCTGGATTGAAACGGGTGACGGCGACCACGTTTTTGTCGACCTACAAAAAAGAAAGGTCCATACCTTCATGAAAAAAGTGCAAACTTCATGATTTTCTATGCAAAAC